AGTAGGGTCAGGATGATTTTTCACAAACAGAAATCAGATTCTGTGACTTCCCTATTTAAAATTATTTACTGTTTTTCCATTGCTCTTAGAACAAAATCTAACCCCTCACCATAAGCTCTTCATTCTCATCTCATTTTCTCCCTCACTAGCTTGCTGCAGCAATGCCTGCCTTCTAACAGTTCTGTGTATGTGTGTGTGTGATAAAAACGTATATATGTATATAACAAAACGTTTGGCAATTCAACATTTTTTACATTACATTTCAGTGATATTGATTATGTTCATCATGTTGTGCATCCATTGATAGAAAGTCAGTGCTCCCTAAGCAAAGACTCCCCCTTCCTCCTCCCTCCCACCCTTGGTAACTGCCAGGAAACTTTGGTCTCTGCACATTTGCCTATTTCATACAAGTTGAATCATACAATATTTGTCCTTTTGTGATTGACTTTATTCCACTCATCATAATGTTTTCAAGGTTCATTCATGTTGTACCATGTATCAGTTGTTAATTTCTCTTTATGGCTGAGTCATACTCCATTGTATGTATATACTGCCTTTTGTTTAGCAATTCATCTGTTGATGGGCATTTAGGTTAATTCCACCTTTTGGCTATTGTGAATAGTGCTGCAATGAACATTGATGTACCTTTGCCTATTTTTTAAATTGTTTATCTTATTATTCAGTTCTAAGACTTTTTAGCGTATTCTATATTCAAGCCCTTTGTGAAATGTATGTAATATAAATATTTTCTCCCAGCATGTGACTTCTTTTCATTTTCTTATTGTTGTGTTTTGAAGAGCTAAGTTTTACATTTTGATGAAGTCCAATTTATCAATTTTCCTTTTATGATTAGTGCTTTTTGTGTCTTCTATAAGAAAAGTTTGCCTTCCTCAGTACTAACATGATTACCTACATAGAAAATTCTATAAAAGCCACAAGAAAATTCTATAAAAGCCACAAGAAACTACTAGTACCAGGCAGATTTTCTCTTTTTTTTCCCCTAGAAGTTTAATGTATTTAGCACTTACATTTTGGTATATGATCCATTTTAAAATTATGTTTGTACATGGTATGCAGCAGGAGTCTGGCTCTACTATTTTCCATTTAGATGTTAGGTTCTTCCAGCACCATTTGTTGAAGAGAATATCCTTTGCCAGTTGAACTGCTTTGGCACTTTTATTGAAAGTCAATTGACTAATTTAAGCATAGGGCTAATTATGGATTCTTTATTGCCCCGTTGTAAAATGGTAGTAGTAGTGTCAGAACCTGTCTGATTTTAGGGGCGGGGGGGATAATGACCAGGACCAGCCCAAATTCCCATGAGGCAGAGGTAAGACATATCTCCACTCTCCAAGTGCTAAAGAAGCATGTACAAAGGACTGTCTGTTAAATGAAATTATTTTTATCCTTTCCACCAGGTACTTTTTTACTTGTATATAAATCTTGAAATCTCTTCACTATGTGAAACATAACTTTATGTGAAATGTACATTTGTTTTTGAATGAGCTATCATTTTTGATACTGTATGTACTGTTTTAAAACATGTTTAAGCATCAAATGAGAAAGAATACTTTTTGTAAAGGACAGCATTTTAATAGCAATAAGTTGAAATAACATTGGTTAAGTAATAGAGTTTTTTCTTTGCTGTTTGTTTTATATTCATATGACGTTGTTTGGAAAATGTAACCATATGTTCTTTTAAGTAGCACAAACTGATTATTTTTGTAGAGGGTATAAAAGGAATAAGCCAAATTAATACCTTCTAGTAGCCACAGTAAAAATATTTCAAAGAAGCTGCCAGTCGTATTTTTATTAATCTAACTTTTAAAAATCTTAATTTTTTTTCCTATCCCAAAGTGGGAATAGGGGAGATACAAGAGAACTTATATACTAATCTTTTTTTTTTCTTATTCTTTACTGTTGTGCTTTAAGTGAAAGTTTACAATTCAAGTTAGTCTCACATACAAAATTTTAACATACATTATTATGTGACCCTAGTTGTTCTCGCTGTACTGTGATAGCACACTCCTCCTTTCCACCCCGGATTTCCCGTGTCCATGCAAGCAGCTCCTGACCCTCTCTGCCTTGTCATCTTGCCTCCGGACAGGAGCTGCCCATTTAGTCTTATGTATCTACTTAAGCTAAGAAGTACACTCTTCACAAGTATCCTTTTATATCTCATAATCCAGTCTAATCTTTGTGTGAAGAGTTGGCCTCGGGAATGGTTTTAGTTTTGGGCTAACAGAGTACAGGGGCCATGTCTTCTGGGGTCCCTCCAGTCTCAGTCAAACCATTAAGTCTGGTCTTTTTACTAGAATTTGAGTTCTGTACCCCACTTTTCTCTTGTTCCATCAGGGACTCTCTGTTGTGTTCTCTGTCAGGGCAGTCATTGTTAATAGCCAGGCACCATCTAGTTCTTCTGGTCTCAGGCTGATGAAGTCTCTGGTTTATGTGGCCTTTTGTTTCTTGGGCTAATACTTACCTTGTGTCTTTGGTGTTCTTCATTCTCCTTTACTCAAGGTAGGTTGGGACCAATTGATGCATCTTAGATGGCTGCTTGCTAGCTTTTAAGACCCCAGACACTACTCACCAAAGTGGGATGTGGAACATTTTCTTAATAAACTTTGTTATGTCAGTTGACCTAGATGTCCCCTGAAACCATGGTCCTCAGACCCTCACCCCTGCTACTCTGTCCCTGAAAGTGTATGGTTGTATTCAGGAAACTTCTTAGCTTTGGTTTAGTCCAGTTGTGCTGACTTCCCCTGTAGTGTGTGTTGTCCTTCCCTTCACCTAAGATAATTGTTGTCTACTGTAGCTAGTGAATACCCCTCTCTCTCCCTCCCCACCCTCGTAACCATCAAATAATGTTTTATTCTGTGTTTAAACCTTTTCTTGAGTAGTTATAATAGTGGTCTTATACAATATTAGTCCTTTTGCGACTGACTAAATTCACTCAGGATAATGCCTTCCAGATTGCTCCACATTAAATGTTTCACGGCTTCATCGTTGTTCCTTATTGTTGTGTAGTATTCTATTGTGTGAATATACCATAATTTGTTTATCCACTCATCTGTTGTTTCCATCTTTTTGCTGTCCTGAACAGTACTAAAGTGAACATGGGAGTGCATATATCTATTCGTGTGATGGCTGTTATTTCTCTAGGATATATTGCAAGCAGTGGGATTGCTGGATCATATGATATGTCTATTTCTAGCTTTTTAAGGAAGCGCCAAATCGATTTCTAAAGTGTATGTACCATTTTACATTCCCAACAACAGTGTATAAGTGTTCCAGTCTCTCCACAACCTCTCCAACATTTTATTTTATTTTATTTTTTCTTGTACTTTAGATGAAGGTTTACAGAACGAATAGTTTCTTATTAAACAGTTAGTACACATATTGCTTTATGACAATGCTTAACAACCCCATGACATGTCAACATTGTCCCTTCTCAACTTGGAGTTCCCTATTACCAGCTTTCCTGTCCCCTCCTGCCTTCTAGTCCTCATCCCTGGACTGTTGTGCCCCATTAGTCTTGTTTCGTTTTATGAGGCCGTCTCATCTTTGGCTGAATGGTAAACTTCGGGAGTGACTTCGTTACTGAGCTAAAAGGGTGTCAGGGGGCCATACTCTTGGGGTTTCTTCAGTTACTGTCAGGCCAGTAAGTCTGGTCTTTTTCTGTGAGTTAGAACGTTGTTCTACATTTTTCTCCAGCCCTGTCTGGGACCCTCTGTTGAGATCCCAGTCAGAGCAGGCAGTGGTGGTAGCCAGGCAGCATCTAGTTGTACTGGACTCAGTCTGGTGGAGGCTGTGGTAGCTGTGGTCCGTTAGTCCTTTGGACTAATCTTTTCTTCTTCATTCTCCCTTGCTGCCGAAGGGGTGAGACCATTGGAGTATCTTAGATGGCTGCTTACAGGCTTTTAAGACCCCAGATCACCATTTTTGTTTTGTGTTTTTTGGATTAATACTAGCCTTGTTCGGGTGAGAGGGCAGCTCATTGAAGTTTTGATTTGCATTTCTCTAATGGCTAATGATTGGGAGCATTTCCTCGTGTCTGTTAGCCCCCTGAATGTCTTCTTTGGGGAAGTGCCTGTTCATATCCTTTGCCCATTTTTTAATTGGGTTATTTGTCTTTTTGTTGTTGAGGTTTTGCAGTATCAGTATGATGTAGATTTTAGAGATTAGAGGCTGATCAGATTTGTCATAGCCAAAATTTTTTTCCCAGTCTGTAGGTTGTCTTTTTAAAACTCTTTTGCTGAAGTCTTTATACTAATCTTTAAAGTAATTTTTAAAAAAAAATAGTATTTTATAAAGTCCTTTAACAAATTACTCTAAAATTTTATAGAACGTAGGAAAAAACAAAGGTTTCAAAAATAATGTTGGGTTATATTAGTTAACTGTTACATTTATGGCATATCTTTTTTTTCTAGTAGTATCCAAAGAGGCTCAAATCAGAAATGGAACTCAGTGAACAGTGTGTATCTGGATAGTAATATATATATGTATTTTTTTAGGTTTAAATTAATTGCCACCAATATCTGAATTTTCAGTCTCTGGATCCTTGGGACATCTGTACAGTGCCTACTTAGATAAACATTGGCATAAGACTTTTGTAGAGAGGGGTTATTTGATAAGTGTATCTGTTCTGAAAAGTATCTTTCAGAAATGTGGAAAATCAGCCGGGTTAGGATGCCTGCATCACCATATGAGTGGAGAATGTAGATTTTAGCATACGGTACAAATCTAAGAAAGCATAAAAAGGGTGTATGTATGTGTTACGTAGTGGTTTGAGGAAATCACATTAAGATTTCCCTCTGATTTTTTTTTCTTTTAATTCATAGGTGAAACTTTTAAATATCCTCTCAAATCTAGTTTGCTACACGTTTCTCAAGTAGAATTAGGCCTAGCTTAAATATTATACCAAATATTTTATGCCCTACAGTTAGTTCTATAAAACTGTTTAGTCCTCTCTATTAACTATCTTTCTTTAATCCTCCTAGGTTATTGAATCTTTGGGAATTATTATTTACAAAGCACTGGACTACGGTTTGAAAGAGAATGAAGAAAGAGAATTAAGCCCTCCCCTAGAGAAGCTCATTGATCTTATGGCCAATACAGTAGAAGCTGATGGTAGCAATGATGAGGGCTATGAGGCTGCGAATGAAGGGATGGAAGATGAAGATGATGAAAAGAGAAAAATCTCAGCTATTCGGTCATACAGAGATGTCATGAAGGTAAAGCAGCAGTTTACATACTAGTTTCTTTTTAAAAAACTGAACAGTGATTGAACGTTTGATAATAGACTATTGCCTTTTAAGTTCTTAGAATGACAGCTATAAATGAATCAGGAACTCTGATTTGTTCTCTGTAAATGGCCTTTGATTACTGAATCATTAAGTTCCTTTCACACACGTACACACACAAACAAAATACTTCTAGGTTTTAAGACCTCCTGTTATGGAATCAATTATGTCCCCCAAAAATA